ATAATAATAATAATAATAATAATAAATATTTAGCCTGACTTTATGTAATACTTTGCCATCTGGTCTTTTAGAGGGTAGTTACCATATATATATATATTCTATCCTAAAATGCTGTTGGTCCTAAGGATTTGAAACGACTGAGACAATAGTCTTGTGCTTTACTCTGTACAGAGAAATCTAGATGATTTTCATACCCATGAGTCAAGGCAAATGATCAGGGATCAGAGCAAAGCACCTATTGATCTTTTTTTGTCTTGTAGTTCAGGATGACTTGAGTTGTTGCTATTGTGATTATCCTTCATTGGCAAATATTTCAGTTACCTAAAGGGAATAATTCATTTATATTATTTAAAAATTGTTTGTTGTGATGATGTGGTCTTGGTATGTTGTTCCTGTGTCCTAGTGCAGCCCCTGATCTCATCTCAGGGTCCCAGTCAGCAGACCTGGGTTTTCAACTATTGCTACTGAATGCCAGGTTGGTCTGTAATAAGGCCACCCACATCTCTGATCTGATCTGAAAGAGTAAACAGTGCAAGGAAAAAGAGAAAGAGAAAGAGAGAAGAAAGAGAAAAGTAGGAATATAATAAGGAAAGAGAAAAGAAATATATAAAGAAGTGACTTCCAACCTTTATCACAACAAGAATAAACAAATTTAGTGACTCTTCACCCCCTCAAAGGTTACAAACATTTATCTCTTTGTACCATATCCCATCTCTTATCTATAAACAGATCCATAAAATATCATCTTTTCACTCCTGGTGACAGCACAAAGTCCATAAAGGGTTGCCAGAGGTAATAACATATCTTGTTTTAACCTTGATCAAATAAACCAACTTTATATTCTTTCCTTTTATTCCTAACCACCTTAATCTTTAGTTCATTCAAATGATGTCATTGGATATGATTTGTCTTCATTTCTTCTTTGTCCTATCACAAAGAGTTCTTCAAGGCTTTAACAAGCCTCTTCTGTAGATCCAGTAGGAAAAAAAATATCCAGGTCACTCTTTTGATTTGTCATTTGTATTTCCCTTTTAAATTTTAGAGCCCCAGCCAATTTCTTTTGTAGATCTAGTGAAACATTCTTTTCTAAGCCATTCTTTTGGCCTGTCAGTTATAAATCCACTTTCAATACCATCTCTATCTTGTCAGATAAAATTTGTTCTATCATTTCTTCAATAACATCTTTTGAACATAGTCTATCCAGAGAAGCAGACATCATTACTGACATTGTTGAACTTGTGGCTACTATTTTCTCATTCCATTCTTCAAAAGTCTCCTTCAGTATTTTCTTTGTTAGAATGTTTACATTTTGCAGGTTTGTAAATCTTTCCTCTACCTAAAAACCTTGCTCTAGTGTCCAGCTTTTGAAATCATGACAGTGTTTATCTTTGTCTCTATTTTCCATGAGAAGCTCTTTGTTCTTTATAATGAATTCCAAAATCTTATTATAAAGGTTTCAATATTGCAATTTTTCTGGACCATTTATAAATTTATAAGATCAAAATTTTATTTAGCTTTTTGCTGTTTATTTCAGATTTTTTTAAGTTCTTAAGTTTATGATTAATATTTTATTTCATTCAGGATTGAAGGAGGATTCACTGGGCATTTTCAGAGTTGTGGTCCAAAGATCTCTAATAGCTTAGAAGAAGTTAATGAGTAATTTCCAAAACTGATTAGAAAGTGAGTTTTGTGAACTTAGTGTCCTTTAAATGTCTCTGCTGCATTTGCAAACAAGATGGCTAATCCTGTTGCCTCCTAGCACCAGTGGAAAACCACTATCCTGAGGTTTCCTCATGAAGACCAGTTATCTGGAGCACATGTAGGTGAACTCCTTTCTCTCTTTATCTGGAGAGGTTTCAAGGAACCAGTCTTCTCACCATTTCCTTGATCTTTGCCACTGTTGTCTGCTCCACTTCTGTAGAGCTATCTTCAGTTTGGCATACTTCCCCCAGAAATCCCCTGACCTGGCATTTATTACTGAGATTTGGGGGGGGGGGGTTACCCCTCTCAGAAATTTTGCCCAACTGAGTTTTGAGTATGGCATCAGCCAAGACCCAGGACAGGGGTGAGATGTAGTAATTGTCATCTAAGATACTTGGGTGGCCTTCAGAGGGGCTGTTTCACAGATTGCCCACCTTAACAAATAGGGTTGTGTATTTGTTAATAGGGCCAAAATTTATGTATATGTCTATTTATTGGCTGTAAACCCAGCAAACTTTCATTAGCTTATTGTATAATACAAGCCACTGCATACATTAGAAGTCTTTCAAAGTTATATTGACCTGAAAGAAGTATGTGTAGTATTGCAAAGGCATTATGCATGTATATTCATTTTTAAAAAAGAAAATATTTTATTTATAATATTTTAATCACATATTTTGATTAGAAACGATCTCAAAAAGGATATATATCTTGCCTTTTATTGTAGAATGCTCAAGCAAGGTAAGAACATAAACGGATACTGAAAAAAAGAAAGAAGAAAAGATAAAAACGAAATTATAGCTTTTAGCTGGCTTTAATAGAATTGTTACTTGTGATTTTAATTGGGGGATATTTATATTTTTATTGTTTTTATTGTCTTGCTTTTTAATTGTAAGCTGTCCAGAGTCACCTTCTGGGGGAGATGGGCAGCATATAAAATAGATAAATAAATAAACAAACAAATAAATAAGGTTACAAAGCTCAGATTACTAATTTCTTTATGTTTGTGACATTTTTGTCACAAACAAAAGCCTTGGATAAAATCTATTAAGATAGTCGTCTTCCTCTGCAGACTTAGGCCGGTAACAAAACCAGGAAGCCCTAGTGAATTTGGCAGTTGTTTGATGTTCCTCATGCTGTGGAAGAAAACATTTATTTAATTTGAAATAGAATTGTACTTTCTTTTTCCATTATCTTATATGATACACCTTGTTTTTCATTTGTTGTGGTGATACAGTAAGTGAAGTTTTACTAAGTGACATACTCCTATATCTGTAAAATACAATGAAAAAATTAATTATACCATTCCCACTAAGAAAGTGCTATTATAGAAATGTATAATAGAAATGCCTAATGGAGGAAAATTTCTACTGATTGTCCACTGAAATGGCAACTTCAGTACAGTATCATTATTAAATGGAAATGCCATGGAAAGAAAATAAAGCATTATATTGGTCACTTAAGTAAGCAGCAACTTTATTTTTCCAATGTGTATGCATTTATATTAATAAGTGATGACTGATTCTTGGATAAAATGTACTTCAAGGTTACTTAATAATGCCCATAGAAGCTTTCATATATATTTTTGGGAAGCTTAGCATCTTCAGCCAAGTACTCCATTCTGCAATCTAGCATTGTGAATACCTAGCAGACTTTTACAGGATGTTCCTTGTATGAAAGTAAATACATTTTTACTTTAATAGCATTTCAGAGCAATATGTGGAGCGCTCTACTGATGAGAGATCTTAGGGGTGTTTTAAACTATTTGTAATAATGCCATATAAATAAATAGTCCATTAGATATCTGATGCTGGTCTAAAGTAGTTTTCACAATCTGGTTTCCTCTAAGAGTTTTCTGCTCCAGCCAATGGTCAGAAATGAGAGGCTTAAACACTGGAGGAACTCAGAATGGCAAAGATATTTTAGAAGAGGTGTCTGAGTTTTTAATAAAACCTATGTTGAAGCTATTCCAAAATCAGCTTTGTTAGAACTACTGGGGGATAAAAAAAACCCCAAACAAACAAACAAATAAAACATGGAGTTGAATGTTATTCTTTACAGCAAGAGTCAATACATTTTCAACATAGTAAAGTCTATTATTCTCTCAATATAGTGATGAGAACTTAAAATGTTGGATTACCAGGTCTGGGTTCTAAAAATTGGGATGGTCATAATATGGCAGCAAAGAGGTACAGAAACCTCTTTCTTTTTGCTGTCATCTACAATTATCCATTTGTTACTGGCAGCCCAAGTAAAGTATGATACTTTAAGATGAATTGGTGAGAAAGTATATGTAGCTTCCAGGGAAGAAATGGCAAACTGAAGACAGCCTTACTAAAAAGAGAACTGACAACTGTGGTGGAAGAAAGAGCTGGTGAATAGACTAGCTTTTCATACTTCCTTTCTGGAGAAGGAGAGGACTTGAAATCACCCACAAGTGGTCCAGACAATTGCTCCTCGGAACAGTCTCTGGCAGGTTTAGAGCATTGGGAGATGAGGGAATAGCCATCATGCTCAAACCATAGTTGGCACCTTCAAAAGGACACTAGGTTTGCATATTTCCTTTTCTAATCACTTTCATAAATTGCTTGTAAACTGCTTTTTAGCTATTAGGAACCTTTTAGGTTTTGCAGCACTGATGAGCTTCCTTCAATCCTTATGACTTTAAGTTCAAGGATTTGGTTTTTTTGTTTTTTAATAAACAGCAAAAAGTGATTAGAACTTGGATTTTGGAAAGTTACAAATGGACTAAGGGTCCAGATGGATTTGAAATAAGATTTTGGAATTAATTGTAAGAATCCTTCCCATGGGAACATGCTTTTGTTTTGACTTCTCTTAAAAAGAAAAAAAAAAAAGATAGGATGAGACTTTGAAGGTTGAACACTAGAAGGAACAAGAAAGAACTAAATATTACAATTAAAGAGAAGAACACTTAAATCTGACTTACTAATACAGAATGAAGCAAAATATTTTAACATTGGACATTGTCAGGTCCAGCACAAGAACAGTGATGAAACGGTCCAGTCTAGTACAGTTCCTTTATTTGCTTACACCTTAAAGACAGAATCTTGCCAAACTAAATCTATACTACAGCAATTAGTAGATATACCCTGGGGAATTCTAGGGAGTGACTACCCTGAATCTCTTACTCTTCCTACGCTCCTCTTGCAGGCTGGATTGTCTTTTGTCTCCTTTTACCTGCTGGAATGCAGCCCCCTCCTTCCTGATAGCCTTGATCTCCCACATCTCTCTCCTTCTCGGAAATACATTCAGTCACAGACATATTGAAAGATAGTTTTGAACAATGGACCCAGAAGTTAATTTTAAGAGTGTCTGCCTCTATAGCTAGATAGTGTTTAAAAGATGTTATGAAAGAGGAACAAGTTTTAGCTGACAAGATTGAGACTGTTCTAAAAGTGGATTTAAAAATGACAGGCTACAAGAATGTTAAGGGAATAGATGCTACATGGGACATACAAAAGAAACCAGCTGATGTCTTAATATTTAAAAGATACCAACAAATAACAAATCAAGGGAGTGACCTGGATAATTTTCCTATATTGGATTTACAAAAGAGGCTTGTTAAAGCTTTGAAGAATTTTGTGGGAAGGGACAAAAGAAAAAAGAAAAGAAAAGAATCAAGGGAGTGACCTGGATAATTTTCCTATATTGGATTTACAAAAGAGGCTTGTTAAAGCTTTGAAGAATTTTGTGGGAAGGGACAAAAGAAAAAAGAAAAGAAAAGAAAAAGAAAAAAATCAAGACATTATTTGAAGGGACAAAAGATCAAGGTTGTTAAAAGTAAAAGGAAGGAACATAAAGTTAGTTTATTTGACTGAAGTTAAAATAGATATGTTGTTATCTGTCAGAACCTCCGCAATCAAACAACCTCCCTGCTAGCTTGCTTGCTTCATTTCTGCCATTACAATGCTAAGGAGGGTGGGGGAAAAGCTGTTAGGCACAGATGGACTGTTATCTAGTTCTCCGTGTGAGACCAAGAGATCATAAGTGACAGGCATGAGACAACCTGAGTAAGAGAAAGGGGGGAGGTACAGGTGGAAAAAGGTTAAATGTAGTTTTTGGCACACATGGGTTTCAGTTTCAGCAATGCTCTCTACCTGTATACCAGTCCTTAATAAACTAACTTTCCTTTGAATCTACAATGGTGTCAAGGGGAGTTGCTTTTATTGGGAACCGTGCAATGCAGGTTATTATTTCTGGTAACCCTTAATGGACTTTTGCTGATCAGAACTGAAATAATAAGGCTTTAAGGATCTGTTTATGGATAAGAAATGGGATATAGGAAGAGATCATTTGTTGTATTTTAAGAGAAGGTGACAAGTTACTAAAATTGTTTATAATTATGATGCAGGGGGAAGACATTTCTTTATATATTTCTTTTCTTTTCCTTTACTATATTCTTATTTTTTCTTTCTTTTCTATTTTTCTATTTTTTTCTTTTCTGTGCTTTCTATTGTATCTCTTTTCTTTTTTTTTAATTTCTTTCGTTTGTATTAGTTTTTATCTTTGTAATTGTAATTTTTCATAAAATTACTATATATATAAAAAAGAAAGAATATGTAGGCTTTGAACCAGTTTTTTATTCATCAAGGTTAGACTTCAAAAGTATCATCTATGCATTTTCAAGATGATGCTTATACATTTTTTTCAGACCTCAGAAAAGCCTGGAAAAAAAGGGGGGGGAAGGGGTGCAACACATGATAACTAGTGATGGTTTGCTTAAACATGGTTTTGAATAAGCTACCAATAAGCTTCATACAACCACAGTATTGCTTTACATTACATGTGAATGGAGCCATGTGGATTTCAGGGGATATACCTTTTTATTAAAACAGTATTAGTTGAAAAGCTATTAAAAGTAATTCCAGAATAATTCAGGACTGACTTAGCATATCATAATCTACTATTTTATTTCCTCTTAACATAGCTTCTCCAAAGTGTATATGTTATCTATGTTGCTTCACACGCTATGCTCAATAATCATAATGGTAAGTGGGAATGACCTTGGGAGACTGGAAGAAGAGCCACAGACCAGACAGCCATTGTGCAAAAGGTATCTCAGTCCACAGAAGCAGAAGGGGCGTGGGAAGCCAAGTG